AAAAATGGAAAACGTATTTTTAAGTCCGTTGGATGGGACATTAAATGGTGCCCCGTGTCGAGGATTACAACAAGATCGTTTCTCTGGATTTCGAAAAAGAGTAGGCTCATCGGGGGCAGCCAGAGAAACCAAAACTTTCAAAAACTGATCATTTAAACAGAATAATCGGCGTTAAACATTAAACAAGCAGTCAATCATTTCAGAATATAAAGATTTTGCTGAATTTCAGCAGAATGGTTATAATTATATAAAAAAAAATTAAATGTGGGGGTTTATGTAATTTTTTTTCTTTTTTCATAGATATTATTAAATGGTGTCAATTTTTAGCATAAAGTGAGGCTATTATTTTATCTGGACTTTCACAATAAATTTGCTATATTTTTCACAAGATGATAATAAAATTCATGGCAGTTAATTTGATGAATAATTTGGGACCAAGATAAAACATTTCACTGCACAGAATAACTCTGTGTGCAACTTGCATGGAAAAATAGGAATTCAAACTTAACAGTGGCGTAAATTCTTTGAAAAAGAAAAATCTCATTTTTTTCTGAAAAAAAACTTCCGTCAGAAGAAATGTTTCCTCTCCTAATGCTTTTGGTATGGAATTTAATCTTGGAATTTTAATTGAATATAGTTTAATTGGCATTGTAGACTCAAAATTTATTGAAGGAACTAAAATAATATGCAGATTTTTTTAATAGACATCAAACCAAAAATATGCTCAAAATCTGAGGAGCGAACCTCTTTAAACGCAGTTTTCTCAGCGGGTCTCCGTTCAATCCCTTACTCCTAAAGTTATACCAAACCTTTTATAATTTTTGATATTTTTTTAACTTACAGAACAGATATGAAAAATGATATATATTTTTCAATATCAACATACATGTATCACGAATTTCTTTTTTTAATCTGTGTGTATCGATACCTATATCGTACAAAATAAAGTTGTATTCAAATTAGGTTGGTTTGTGAGGAAACAATAAAAGAGACATGGCCCGCCCCAAAATCCTCTCTCAGGATCAAATCTTAGAATGATCCTTCAATAATAATCCCCTAAATAATGACCATGATGACCAGTTATCAAAATTAACTTTATTGATTCTGTTCACAATGTACATGTCAGATATCACGCCGTTTGCATTGTCGGTTTATGATACAGAATACGATAGATGTGTTCGGTATAAAATTTATCACATCTTTATTGAAAATAACCTTCCATTGTCAAAATTCGAGTGTTGGTAAAATGGGTTGGTGCTGTCGGACCTGTACGGGCAAATTAAAACCCTGGTTGTAAAATATTCTTCGTTAATACTCAGTCAATTGAATTGAAATGGGTGGATTATGAAGGTCGATTATAATAAGAATATTTATTAAATGAGATGTTTAACTATTAGTAATTCTAATTGAATAATATCAAAGTTGTGTAAAATGGGAGTAAAATTTCTTGTCATATATTTGCTTTCAAATACATTTTGTTGAGTGTGTTCAGCAGATAATATTAGTTGGAATATTGCAGTTTTAAATTAGCCTTTTGATGTTTGTTGTGTCGGCATATATCCATCAAAATTCATACAATCTTTAAAATCTTCTTAACTACTGTACATTATGTAAAATTTTTCACAGGGTACACCCACTTCCTGTAAATTATTAGGACCAATGCACAGGCACCTGACGCTTAAAACCTTTCTTTTCAATGATAAGAATATCATCATATTATAATGATATTATGGTATGGGATGGACATTATGTGATGAATGAAGTGATTATACCGGTTTCTGGGTCACTGTATAAATGTATATATCGAATTGTGGGATAACTATATTCACTATACCTGTTTGTGGGTCACTGTATATATGTATATATCGAATTGTGGAATAACTATAGTCACTATACCTGCATGTTTGTGGGTCACTGTACATATGTATATATAAATATATTGTGGGATAAATAAAGTGATTATATGCCACTCTGAGGTTCACTATTTTTAAATATGCATAAAAACTATTGGATACGTAAGCATATATATAGATTAAATATATCTTGTTAAAAATCTCATAATATAAGGTTGATAAGCAGCTCTGTGTTGAAGAAATAAATAATACATTTTGGGATGGACATTATGTGATTAATTTAGCAATCATACCAGTTTGTGGGTCACTATATGTATATTACGAATTGTTGGATAAACAGGCGATTACATGAAATATATTGTGAGAATCTAATAATATTAATTTGATAACTTGTATGTTGAATAAAGAACAAAATACGTTATGGATTGGCCATTAAGGGATTTAAACGCGATGATTATACTTGTTTTTGGTTAAATAATAATTACATTTAAAAGAAATTCTGGGATAAGGAGGCGTTTAGATAAAATATCTTGTTAAGAATCAAATAAATTCGGCTGATAAGTTGCATAATGAATAAATAATTAATACACTTTCGAGTTGGACATTATGGGATCAATGTATAGTACATTCTAATACCTGTTTGTGGGTCACTATATACATGATTTACATGTATATGAGAAATTGTTTGAAAAGTAGGCGATTGCAAGAAAAGTGTAACATGCAAGAGTGTCATAATATAAGGCTAATTAGCTGTATATTGATATATAAAATATTAGTACGATACGATAAACATTATGGGATCAGTCTAATGAATGCACCAGTTTGTGGGTCACTACATGTATATGTAAGAAATTATTGGATAAGTATAGGTGTTATGCATGAAATAATATTTTTAATAATGTCAAAATATTGAATAAATAAATAAAATATTATGAGATGGACATTACCGGGCTAAGGTAATGATTATACCTATTTTATTTCACTTTCTATGCGTATATAGCAACTGTGGGATATGTAGGCGCAGGGATAAAATATTTTGTTAAGAATTTCTAATATATGGCTGATAAGCTGTAAATTGAATAAATAAATTATGGTAATAGTAAATATATTATGGTAACGGACTGAATTATGGGATAGATGAAGTGATTATACCTGTTTGTGGGTCATTGTATATATAGATATGACGAATTGTGGGATAAATATATTGCACGTGATTATACCTGATTGTTGGTCACTGTATATAATGTATATAAAAATGTAGTGCTTGTAACAGTTTGTGGGTCACTGTATATATGTATAAATGAATTGTGGGATAAATATAGTGATTATACCTGTTTGTGGGTCACTGTATATATGTATATAATGAATTGTGGGATAAATATAGTGATTATACATGTTTGTGGGTCCCTGTATATATGTATATAATGAATTGTGGGATAAATATAGTGAATATACATGTTTGTGGGTCACTGTATATATATGTATATAATGAACTTTGGGATAAATATAGTGATTATACCTGGTTGTGGGTCACGATATAAATATGTCTATAATGAACTTTTGGATATGTAAGCATATACGTAAGATATTGTCTTTAAGATCTCATAATATAAGGTTGATAAGCTCTTTATTGTTTAAATAAATAATTCACGAATGGAAGGTCATTATGTTATAAACGTATAGTGATCATAGCTGTTTGTGGGTCACTATATATATACATGTATATAACGAATTGTGGGACAGGCGATTGCATAAAATATGTAGTGTAGAATCTCATAATATTAGTCTGCTATCCTATATGTTGAATCAATAAAAATACGTTACGGATTGGACATTATGGAATCAATGCAGTGATTATACCTGTATAATTACTTTCAAAAATAAGAATTCAATGCTTAAATGTGGTTCACTATATATATGTATATAAGAAAATCTTGGATAAGTAGGTGTATAGATAAAATATGCCGTTCAATATCTAACATTGCTTAATGAATAAATAAATTATAAATAATACATTGTGGGATGGACATTATTTGATAAATCATCTTTGTCACTATATATATGTGTATGTAAGAGATTGTGGGATATATATATATAGAGAGAGAGGGGATATCCCTAAAATATCTTGTTCAGAATCTCATAAATCGTATATCGCAGTGAGTCATTAATATGCAGTATGACCCCAAAATACTTGAAAAGTAATAGTACAATCTTATATTGAATCCCCAAAAACTGTTCTTAATGATTCATTCTATTTTGTACATATGTAAATATACATATATATTATTTATATCAAATATTAATTCTTATGTCTTTCATTGTAAAATCCAGGACATGATATATATAGCATGTGATAATATTGTGGGTCATAATATTCATAAATAGAGCATTGTGCGATGTATATACTTTATCCCACAATGCTCTATATATATGAAAATAATGACCCACAATGATATACAACATTTTTAATCTTATCTCAAAAATTATATTATATATTATATAAGGACCATATATAACGCTTAAATCATGAATATGACATAGCTATTCAATGTAGAAATGCGAGATCCCACAAACCTGTTTAGAAGGTCGGTGCCCACAAACAACCTCATATACCTATATATATATATATATATATATATATATATATATATATATATATATATATACATATATCGTATATCCTCAAATGACGCATGTAACTGAGCTGAAACATAAAGATATCTCCTACATGTTTGGTCATTCAATGATCATACTACATCTGATTCATTACTTTTTATCACGTTGTTAAAAATCACTTAGCTCTAGGGTTCTAGGGTTTGTATGCATAAGGCATTTCATCCACGTAAGCATATCTTTAATTGTCGATTTATGTTTAAAAAAAGACTGATTTTATGCATTACTAAGCGTTTTACTTCACGTCATGATTGGAAGAACTGAACATCTTGTATACATTATATTATTCTCATCTTTCCACAAATACCAAAGAAAAATTAGAGTAAAAAATTTGATTTTGCTGTCTCAAAGTGCTATACCATGATTGTATTAGAAGAGGGTTCGCGACTTTAAAACATTAATGTAAATATGTATATTTGAAGTTGCATTCAGTATTTCTGTAATATTTCATCAATGAGTCTTTTAATAGGAACTCTGAAGGAGAGAAGTCAAACTGTTCTTGAATGCCCTGAAGGACAGTATGTGGGTTTCACGTTTGGAGAATATTTTACCAATGAATTTTCTGCAGATGTTACAAGAACTCTTCAAATTAAATGTTGCAATAAAAGATCATGTTTAATAGAAGCAACAAATTCCTTTCTTGGAGGTGACCCCCACGTTGGGCGTATTAAGACACTTAGATGGAATATGACATGTGAAGGTAAATCATGACAGTCTTGTTTTTATTCACAAGGTGTAATTTTCAGGATAATAAATCCAAATCTTGCTTTTGACATTGTGCTTTTTTCGAAACTGTTCTAATGTAAAAATGTTTTATACCTATTATCTTAATTGTTATTTAATATCTTTAATGTCCAAAACTCATGCGGGATTTATTATGTAGAATTGCAGCTTTCAAGCATAATATTTTAAAACCTAGTTTTCCTATTTGAAAACATTGTTACAGATAATCTTGGAATGTGTGGAGGCCATCCTTGTGGAAATGGAACGTGTACAAATAATTGCGTGTCCTTTTCATGCACATGTTTTTCAGGGTACAATGGAAATCAATGTGAATTTGGTAGGTTTTCTATTTTTTTTTTTTAATTTCTGTGAAAAAATATATATTTCAATAATCAAAAGGACGTGTTCATTTCATTTTTTTTCTTGCAATCTGGTATGTGTAATATGGTAACAGTAAAGAAAATCTTGTATAGGAGTAACATTGGACGTACAAGTATTATGCTGAATCATATTCAAGAAGTGGTGTAAAACAAATGTGGATTCAAAACCTCTAAAAGACTTTTTTTTTTATTTTAAACCAAAATGAATAGCATCAAAACGTATGAATTTTCTACACTTTATCCAAATATTCCTCAAGATAAATTAAACACAAGCCTACATGACATCATAGACAACTGCTTCTTTAATAAAATTTGAAGTCGGAAATTTTCATGTCGCTTGTGGTCATTTACAAAATTACTTGCTTAAAACATTCTGATTACATCCACAAGTTGATGCTAAAAATATGTTAGAGTTCCTCAGTAACAATATCTATATATGCAGTCTACAAAAAATGGAGTCTCTGCTCGATATTTTCCAATTAATTATTGACATAAAATACACTATTTTCTTTCGAAATCGATGAAATGTTAAATTTGCGCCTTTTTTTTTTTTTTTTTTTTGTCATATTTAACTCATGACGCCATAACGGGTGAAAACACTTAATGATTAAATGTCTGCATGTTATATTATCCTGACTGAACATTATTTGAGATTTTCTTTTGACTGACAAGTTTTATACCAATTGCAAGACCATTAGTTTTACACAAATTTTAAGTGTAAATTGCTCCGTTTACCTACTAGAGACAGATGACTCACAATGGATTTGACCGATCGAGAGCAGACTTACTTCTTCCAGGCACCTGATCCCACATCTGGAGTTCCAGTGGTCTGTGCTTTGACCTCTTAACGATTTGTAATGTTACTGGATTTTTGAAATCGATGCTGATTTCTATTTTCACCTTTATTAGTTGAAGGCCAGGAATTCTAGTTCTTCACTAAGAATACATGTTCCTTATTTAAGTATCATATTAGTCTTAAAGTCTTTTTTCAGAGGAAACTATCACAGTATCAGGAGTGATGTAATATTGTTTTCAATACAACCATATCCAACTATAGAAAGATTTTCAAATTAATACGTGCTAACCTCGGATCTCAACCATGCAATGTATTTGGAAAAAACATGTTAAATATGAGAATTTTTAGAACATTTTTTACAATAGGAGATCCATCTGTAGAAAGAGAATCCAGATATGAAAACATCTGCTCATGCATTTAGAAAAAAAGTCACATATTTCCGATAAATGAAATAATACACATGAAAAAATCAACACATATATTTTATAGGTTTTTAATGACCTTAATGTTTCCTATATAATCAAACAAGGACAGAAATAATTTAGGGTTTTTGCGAATATTCAGAAATTGAGACAATAAACAGAAACAAAAAAAAAAAAAAAACATTATGACCGAAAATGTTAAACAACTCTAAGCACATAGAATACTTTTTCATGTTATTCATAGAATGATATCCATCGCATATGAAATAATTCTACATAATATATATTAATTGTACTTTGTTTAATCTTAATCGATAAAAATTTTATTTCATCTCAGTCGAAGATGCATGCTTCTTTAATATCATATTTATTATGTCAGAAGTTATAATATTTCGATCGTATTATTTAATTTCTTTCTTAATTGGCTTTTTAAATTTAAAGAATGTGGAAGTGGCACATTTGGTCAAAACTGCACTCAACTTTGTGGTCAGTGTAAAGATGGTATTGGAAATTGTGATCACGTGACTGGTGTATGCTCAAAAGGCTGCGCCGAGGGGTATATTGGCAATAAATGTGACTTTAGTTAGTGTACCTTTAGAACTTAGTTTCCACGAAGTAAATATTTTGCAAAACTGTTTCATCATTGACTACATTTGAAATGTCCAATTCAGTTACAATAATCAATTACACATAAAATCATATTAAATAAATTTCAACAAAGATGAAACTAATTTATGAAAAGCAAAATATTTGAATATTATATTCATATGTGTTCTTAGATATAGGTAACAGTGTTAAATAAAATAAGGGAAGTTTTTTTTTTTTTCACACAATTTATTTAGAGTGTCCAGAAGGTATCTGTGAATCAAACTGTACGGAAATATGCAAAGGATTGACCTCTACCTACAATGAACAAACCGACCTATGTGATGGGTGCTGTGCTCTTTGTTTAGGGGATTCTGAAGGATTGGAAAGTACAAATATCCTAAACGATTCACTAGCATAATGTTACATACTTTTACACGCATACATGTATAACGATTTAGATATAACTGTTCATGTAGGGAAAAAAAATATATTTTTGATTTTCCAGTAGCTATACCTACATGTACTTATGGAATGTCGATTTCATTATTTTTATCTAACTGGACGATTAATTTTTCAAAAAAAAATATCGAAATGAAAAAAAAAATAGAACACTTGTATTCGAGAGCTTGATTTGAATATTATTACCTTCATCAAACACATGCTTGATAGGAAATTTGTACATTTGAACTATGTATTTAAAATTATTGAATGTTTGTTCTATTAAGTGAACAAAAATGCTCGTCTTGTTGAGGGATGTAATTTAGAAGTGTATGGCTTGCTGACTGCACTCATAGTTTCACTTCTGATACATTGCGGATTCCTTACGATGTACTTTTTAAGGTATCTAAAATTTTCCCTGAGTCATAATATTTCTGCCATCTATACAGAAAATATTTATAAATTTAAAATGATTATCAATGTCAAATCAATATCAAAACAATTGCAGATTAAGGCGAAAAAGAAAGGACATCTCCACTGGTACCACTCCGGAGTATGCTAATGTGAAGACAGGGAAGGCATCAACTGACCATCCGAATCAGGAGAAGACATCAACGGAGATCAACATTTATTATGAAGCATTACATAACAATACAAGTGTACAGGATGCACATAATTATGCGTCATTAGTAAAATGAGAAAGCAGAACAGAAGGATACATTATACAACGGGGCTTGCTAAAGTTGAAGGACCCTCTTCAAAGCGAGATATCTCGATGACTTTGATTTTTTTATCTTCATGTATGATTTGTGTCCAATTTTTCAAAATGGGAAATGAATATTGACATAGTGTAATAAATTACATTAAATTTACATTAAATTTAACGAGTAAGATATTTTTTATGTACAGCTAAACTTTAATTGTTTTGTTTGTTTTTGTTTGTTTTTTCTCTCTTTTTTTTTGGGGGGGGGGGGGGTTGGGGGGGGGGGGTGGTGGTGGTGGTGTATTTCTCTTCCATTCCCCACGATAAATTGAAGTCCAGGCTTTTTGACATCATCAACAGCTGCTTTTTCAATAAAAATGGAACACGTATATATACTTACCTTGTCATTGGTCATTTACAGACTTATTTTGTTAAAAAGCACTCTGATTGTACACACAGGTACACTGAAGTTGATATTAAAAAGATGCTTGAGTTTCTGATTGACAATATCTATGTAGTTTTTGGAGATAAGGTCTTCCAACAATCTGTTTGAATTCCCATGGGAACCAATTGCGTCCCCTTATTAGCAGACCTATTTTTGTATTCATATGCAGCAAAATTTATTCAAAAACTTCTACATGAGAAGAGGAAAAACACTTGCTGTGGTCTTCAACTCGACATTTCGATATATCGACCACGTATTATCAAAAAACAATAGTTATTTTCATTCATATGTCGATATATCCCAGTGAGCTTGAAATAAAAGATACCACAGATTCTGACACATCTGTTTCATATTTATATATTTTACTAGGAAAAGACGTAAATGGTAACCTAACAACAAAGCTTTATGAAAAATGTGATGACTTCAATTTTTCAATCGTCAACTTCCCTTACTTATTTAGCAATATACCCTTATCCCCTGCTTATGGGGTTTATGTCTCTCGATTGAGTAGGTAAGCAAGAGCATGATCTAAGTATGAATAATTTCTAAAACGAGGCAAGCTATTGACAAACGAGTTGATGGAACAAGAATATCAACAGTCTCGTATGAAGTCATCTTTTCGCAAGTTTTACGGTCGATACAATGACCTTGTCAGCACATACAACCTATCATTAAATCAAATGCTGACTTACGTTTTTCATTCTAATTGTTTCATACTAATTGTTAGGCCATCATTCATACACTGAATTGTCTACGGATTTCTCCGTTATTACCCGATCATGACAAGGAGCACTCAGCGGGTGTGACAGGTCGGCGGGGGATGCTCACTCCTCCATGGCACCTGATCCCACCTCTGAATTTTGATGTCCGTGTTTGCTCTGCTTCAAATTTGTATCGGTTCATTGGATTTTCGAGATTGAATACTGTTCATTATCTTCATATTTCATTTTATCTCTTTTTTAATTTTGTTTTGCCTGGATATTTTTGTTTCACACTTCCACTTTCGAAATTTGTGAAAGCATTTAAATACAAACTTAAACTCCCATATAAAATAAAATATAACTTTAAAAGCAGAATGAACGTTAAAGTTTTTTAAACTGATAAGACAGAGACAAAGAGGGAAGGGGTGGGGTTACACTGGATCCAATTTACTACATGTAAAATATGTATAAAGAAATGTGAAACTCTAATATAAGATAAATTTTCAAAACAATTTAATTTTTAAAAACATAAATGAAATCTTTTTTTTTTTTTTTTTTTTTTTTTTTTTTTTTTTTTTTTTTTGTAAACTGTGCCTATTCATTTTCAGAAACTCTCAAATTTAACTTTTTAACTTTTTTGTACTCGTTCAATTATTTTTTTTAAAACGCGCTTTATTAACGATATATAAGCTCATATAAGCTCACCACTGGAAATCCTCAAACTGTTCCTACATCAATTATGGCATGTGAATTATAACCCATTTAATCAGCCTGTTTTATAAATAAATAATCAAAAAAGTTCAATACTGGGAGTGAAAAGAGTAAACTGTTTCAATTAAAATAATTATTATTTTATTACCATATGCAAGACAGAAGTCCTTCCGAATTTTTGTTTGAGATTTTGTGGAATATTGCACAAATTGTAATGTATCTACAGTATATGAACTTAATGTCCTTAAAATTGTTCTATATTTGTAAATTATTACATTTCACATTTTCTGTCTTTACCATGATTATATTTAGAAAAAATATTTTACACTACCCGTAGCTTCTAGTTTATTGTTGTTCTATACATACATATATAATTAGTAACGTTACAATAAAAAAAAATCATAGTCAGGTTCACTCCGAAAGAGCTTGGCGTTGGTTTAAAAGTAACATGACGTCATGATTTAGCTGTTGAAGCATCATTGATATAAATGAAGAAAAAACATACCCGTACTTAGAGCTGGAGTAGAACCACAAAAATTCAGATATGACAACTCCTAACCTTGCTATATCAAAATCCATGAAAAATCAAAATGTGTAAAAATTGCCATAAGCACCCTTTTCTCATGGGCGTAATGATATATTTTTTAACTTCACATGTATCAAACATTACATTTCTTATCAGAGTAGTTGTAAATGTAAAAAAGAAAGGATAAAACAAAAGAAAAATAACTAATGGTGTTATTAAAATAAATAAGTTATATTGACCAATGGTTTAAATATTTATATTCTTAATTCACGTTTGTAGTGATGCATTGTTATGGTTGCTAAATGAAATAAATTACTTATTCATTCATTCATAATGCAACACTTTCTGACGGGTTTATCTCTTTTTTTTAAATCTCTGTTTGTCTTTTATGATAACTGACTGAATTTTAGACAATCAGCTTGTAAAATGAACACAATTCGAGTATTGATTACTCTTAAGAGTGAACATTTCTTCCAACTTACCTTTTAGCTATTTTTTGAGACTCTAGCGATAGTTGTTTTGTTGAAAATATGTAATCTCTGAATGATGTTCAGTTTATAAACACATATATACTTATGCCTTCCAACTAAAATAAAACTAACTCTTTTACCGTTTTTTTTTTTTTCATATAAGATTCCCTGTTTGGAAAGGTGATTAAATGAAAGAAAAGTTTTATTTATTCTCCATGCAACATTAATAGATCTTTAAACTGCATTTAATATCATCTATGTTTTGCTCAAATATCAAACTCTTTACTTGGAAATATGTCAAGTATATGTCATTGATCACTATGATATTTATTTCTCGGTACATTAGTTGAGAGTCATATTCATAATGGTATACGTTCTCTAGAAAAAATTACATTTGCAGTGGGGTTTTTTAACTAAACAGACTATTTAATTGGTTTGAATATCAAAATTCAACAGTGCACACATTCATTTCATGATGAGCTTGTATATGATTACTATCAACCACGATATACACTAGAACACACTGTAATGAGACTTTTTTAAAATTATTTTTCAAGATTCTTAATTAATTGCTTTCTTCATATAGCCTTGATCTATGTATTATTGTCACTAGATTTTTTTAAGAGCAGTATGTATATGCAAAAAGACCATTGCATGAAAATCGACTATTGTCAACAGAGGACAAGGAGGAAGAAATATTTGACAAACCGCAGAGAAACACTTAAACTCCATATTTTAATAGGGTGACCCGCTATATCCTGTTTAAATCAAAACAAAAGATATCACATTTCTGGCATTTTCTGTTTCATATTCTCTTACGTAATTAGATAAAATGGCGCAGTGGTTAGAACGTTTGGTCTAGAGTCGCGGAGTAAGATATTGATCCTTATGTCGCGGGTTCGAATTCCACTGCGGGACGAGACCATCTTTCGGATGAGGCCGTATAAACCGAAGCCCAATTTCACAGTAGGTGCTGTCACGAAAAATATCCCTCACTGCTCAAAGCTCAAAGTGCCGAGTACAGGTCTATATTTGCAGCCCTTTAACGGCAAGTGGTGGCGTTTCGATATGAGTGAAAAATTCTCGAAGGGATGTTAAAAAACAAACAAATATAAGATAAAGTCTTTGATTGCAAATAATAACAACAGTACATGCAAATTTGTGATATAATGGAATACCTTGAACTTTATTTCGTTAACAATATATTTTTTTTTCACTTATATATAGTGTTTTTTAATTACGCAATAGTGTGCACACGATCAATTTTTGAAGTAAGGCAGGATACCGACAAATATGTTGGTGTTACAGGGAAATCGTCTTTCATGTTCAAATACAAACTGTCATTGAATCAATTATTGACTGATTTTTATACAAATACAAAGGCAATTGTTTTTATTTGTCTTTGGATTACTCCGTTTACTTGATCAGTACAAGTAGCTGAACTAACCAGTGGTGCTTCTAGGGGTTCGGCCTGTTCTCAATGGTCAAACATTGTACTGAATTTTAAACTTATCACTGTTAATCTTCACGCTTTTATTGTAATAGACACTGAGGGTGAGTAACAACGATTAAAGGAGTTCATGTATTTGCATTCTTCTCTAAAGGAAAATAAATTATCAAATTCGTCATTTTATGTACAAACTTCATTCAGTTGTCATAGCTGTCTCGCTGATCAAAGTGCGTACGGATATTAATTGTTTTGCTTTTGTTCATATATGTTCAATCTGCATTCTTGTGACATGTGCCTTGTATGTTGATTAATCCCACTTATTTTTGTTTGAAATAAAGAACAATTAAATCCTTTTTGATATGTATATATTGAGATATTTGGAAGTAGTCGAGTGTATGACGTTAGCCTAGCACGCGCATATCAAACTAAGTAATTCAAAGTCGTCGATTGCTATCCTAAATTAGACTTGATAGCCTGTTTATTAAATGTTGCAAAATCAAGACAGATGGTGAGGGTTTCGAATAATCTCTGTATATATGCGTAATCCTGTAAGAATTATATTAGTATAGTCCTTTTGGTATTGCATTCCTCACATAAAAAAGTGATATATGATATGTTAGTGTAGATTTCATGCTAAAGATTTGAAAATAATTTTGTAACAATAAAGGTGTTTTAAGTGAATTATCAAAACATACATCATAGGAAACTTTGACAATCAAGCAATGAAAATTAATTTAGAATGTAGATTGATAAATTTCTTAGGCATGCCATTTATATATTCTTGTTTAACATAGGACATTTTTCCATATGATAAGTTCTGTATGCTTAGAATGAATACTTGAATATATATATGAATGATTGCTTTTATAGGCAGTTAATTCTAAGACACTTATTTGTTGAAAAGCGAA